CTTGCTAAGCATCTCTAGGCTCCAGGCTGAGGACAAGGCTGATCTCTCCTGTGAGCATCAGACAGCCCCCTGGAAATTCAAACAGTACTGAAGTCTGGGGAAGTGAGATGGGAACACGCCAGGCCTCCTAGGAGCATGACCTACCAACAGCACCAACCACAACCAGGACAGCGGGTCGTTTACCATTTGTATGGATGTTTCCTGGTGCTGCTGCTAACCAGGGCCCAACGCTCAGCTCAGGAACAGTGATCTAGAGAATAAAGCATTGTTCTCTCAGAGCCAGCCTTCAGAGGAAGCCTTAGCAACAGCATTGTCAGACTGCCTGAAAAGAATCAGAAAGTCTTTAATTCCACGTACAGGCTGTCCTGGGGATAGACACAAGATGAATCAGGGAAAGCAGGGACAGAATCCACCTAGGTCTGTCTGAGGCGTGTGCACTAATGCAAAGTTCTGTTCATCCTTATTGTCTACTAAACACCTACTATGTGCCAGGCTCAGGGGAGGGCTCAGGATACAGAGTGTACAATGCAGGCAGGGTTTCTGCCTTTTCAGGGCTGATGCCACACAGAAAACTGAGCACCAACAAGTCAATGGGAATAAGGCATATTGTGATGTATATAAGAGGTGACACGGGCCAGAAGAGGGTAAGCAACAGGAAGCCATCAGGAGGTTATAAGCAAGGAAGACACAGACTCTAAGATTCAGGAGGAAAAGTTCAGCTTCTCTAAGAAATATGAAAAAGGAGGAGACAGAGTGAAGGCAGGGGGTCCAGTTAGGAGGTGGTAGCTTTGTACACATGAGCTATGAGGTCTCTGGCAAGTTATGGGGCAGGTGAGCTTGGAGGAATGTGTGTGACCCACACCATGGTGAGAAGAACTAAAGGAAAGAGGTCACCAGGCTGAGGCCCTGAGCTTGTCCTTGTGATGGAAACCTGACAACAGCCTGCAGATGTGATCCAGTGTGCCACATTTCTTTCGGAAAGCTCATAGCACTCAAGAATTCTTGCTGCCCTTCACATTCAATAAGATTTATGTTAACCATTACTTTTCACACCTGGGAAGCCACCTGGTTATTTTCTTTTGAGCAAAACCACTAAGGGTCTGGACAGAGCATTGTAAAGCACATGGGATGATGCCCTACACACTCATGTGGCTGCTGTTTAATGCTCACAATCAAACCTCCCCAGAGCTCTGTCGGAAGCCAGGAGAGGGGAGGTGTCAGTGCCGAAGTAGCTGAGTTGGCGGTGCACTGCTTTGCAGTGTGTGCAGGTGCAGGAGAGTGAGGACTGAGGCCCAGCACAGGCAAGAGGCTCCCAAGGGGTCACAATGGGGCAGGTGCTTGTGAGCCGCTATGTGATAGGTGTGGGTAAAGGTCAATTAAAAAGCTAGAGAGGAGTGGAAAGGAAGAATTCTGTGTCTGGGCAAGGAAAGAAGGTCCAGCCCCTGCCTAGGCATCTTTATCCACCCTTGTCTTTACTTTCATTCCTCCCCACCTTTTTTTCAGGGGAGGCTTTTAGGGCTGTGGTGTCTCTGCTGCTCTTTCTCCACCACAAACGGAGCAGTAGGGAGGTTATCTGAAGACAAAGTTGTGTCTTCACACTCAGCTGTCTGGTTACCCTTAGGAACTCCTCTGAAGGGCAGGAATGTTCTGTTTTACTTCTGACCTACAGTAAGATCCCAGCCATGAGTGAGGCAAGAAGAATGACCACATTCTGTTTACACGGGATTATTTATAACACACATAGTCAAATAACACCATCGAGTTCTGAACAAGTCAATCCATTCTTCAGAATTATAGAAATACATGTCTCTCAATTGTCAGCAAAGGGCTTTAAACCCCCAGGGTGACTAACTTGTCATCCTGTCACATGAAGATGTATTACATAGTTAGTGACTCTATTCAGTGTGTTTCCCCTGCTGAGATTTAAGCTCCATGAGATCTTTCATTGTTGTAGGTGTTGCTGTTTTCTGTCGTGTCATTGCTGTAGCTACAGAGCACAAATCACTGCCTGGCACTAAGGACACACTCAGTTCACCTACATTGGAATCACAGGAAGAGGTACAGATCTGAAGTCAAGATAATAATTTTGTTTTAAAGTTCTGGATATTTTGTGTTTGAGGTTCCATGTTCATTCAATAGAAGATATTGGATGTGGATATCAAAATACGTATATATCACATACTTCTCCATGGCCTAGAGACTTGAGAGCCCTGCTAGTCTCTGCAGCTCCCAATCACTGCCTCTGTTTACTCACTGATGGTCTGATTTCCATGGATCCCTCTATGCTGGATTCCATGGGTTCATGTGGAGAAAGTGGAGAGGATGTGATGGGCTTTCCCAATCCTGCTTAAAGAAGCCACAGGAAGCAGGCAGATCATGAAGCAAATTCTGGGAAGAGAAAACCTCAAGAGCAAATAAACTGCAGAACATGGGTGAGTTGGGAAAATTTCTGCAACATGTATATAACTAAGAAGCTTACATTAGATATCCTTCAAGAAAATATTATTTACGGAGCTTCCAATCAGCCCTATGATCCATGCAACTCAAACATTAAACTCACCAAGGCCAAGTCCCATAATAGGCGTTGATGAGGAAATTGTCAAAGGAAGAATGATGGCTTTGTGAGCTCTGTGTCCACAGAAGAGAGATTTCTGCACTAGGAGAACTGGGTAAAGCCAATAAATAATTAGGAATGTAAGCGCTCATCTGCACTTTATTCTAATCCAATATGCAGTGTTGTGAGTCCTGCATCTGCAAATCTTAGCATTCACTGTACTTACTTCCTTTTCTAATTATTACCATAAATTCACCTTAAACTTGGATGATTAAAAAACAAATCAATTAATGTGGGAGTCCTTAGAATCTGTTGCTTTAATGCGCAAGAATGATGGAACACATCAAACGTATATATTTGTTAGTTCATGTACCAATGATATGATACTGCTTCACTTATCTGTTGTAAAAATCATCTAGTGAGGGAGTAAGTTGATGGGTAAAAGAGTCTGAAAAGTTAAAAAAGATGAACCACACTGATGGGTGCAAACAATTCATTAGAAAATTCCCTGTATATTTGTATGACTCAAAAGTTTCCATGTTAACCAGTGTTTAAAATATCCTTAGTTTGTGAGGAGATGTTTATGTTCTGCTTTGACAGGTGTACAATGTGACCAAAATGTAAGCTTACACTTTGATTTCAAATAGAAGCCCATCACATATCAATAGTCAGAGGAGAAGCTCGTTTGGAGGCTGTGGAAAAGAAAGCAGCTCAGGGTTTCCCAGGACAGAGAAGTGAGTGAGTCTGGAACCCCACAAGTAAGGGGACAAGCTATGAGTTGGGCTATGAATGTGAGCAGGGGCCACAACGTGAAGGGCGTGCTGCAGAGGCCATAGGGTTCAGATTGTCTAACAGATTGTGAGGAGTTACTGAAGGCGTGTAATCCAGGGAGTGCCCTGCCTGCCTCATCTGAATGAGAGGGATCTCTGTGAATGCCTTGAGGAGAGAGTGCCTGAGAAAAGTGAGTGATCCTGATTCTAGATTATTCACTAAAGCACCTTGTGAGTCTAAAAACCAAGAAGTCATTTGCACAGTTAGCACAAGAGTAGACGTGGCTACATTGAGAAGTGATGGTCTCTGCCTTTGTCTCCTCAGACATTGAACTCGCTTTCAAGAACACTGTGAGGGTAAAACACGTACTAATCTTTCCAATTAAGTGAAAACATCCAGTAAACAGATAGAGGTGGCAATATCACAATACGAACAAATTGTATCACATCTAGGACAAATTTTTCACCAAAAAATCTCACAAAACTGTGAAGAACATGACAAGTTTTACTTAGGGAGATGATGGCGAACTTCATTAAATAGAGAAATATGTCATACTGTTCGTCGGTAAAGGTAAGCCTACCAAATCTATTAATTTTGCTATATCACTAAATTGAGCCAAATCTGTATAAAATGTATGAAAACATTATATATATATGTAACTTTTGCTGAATTGCTGCCTTTAACATGTCACAGATCATTTATTTTTCTTGGAAAATTCTAATTTTTCACCATACTTTTGAACAGCCCCTAGCTGCCCTTCAGCCTAACTCCTTGGCTGATCCCTTTTCCTTAACGCTTATCCTATAGGAATATGTGGGCAATCTGATTTTTCTAGAATGCTCCGTGGGGGTGCTGACACCATTAAAAGTTATACATATACACGTCTGCACATCCCACAGACCAAGACTACTTTTGGGAGTGAGAAATCACAGTAATAATGCATAGCACAGTTGAAGAAGTTTCTAGGAATCAGACCATGGATATGTGAATACAGACAGTGACTGGTGAGCTGCAGAGACCAGCTGCATTCTGATGTCTCTGAACCATGGAAAAGTGTGTGTCCTGGGACCAGCATCGGATGCTGTGGGGCTGCCCTGCGGTTCCTACACAGGTGCTGGGTAAGGACCATTCACTCAAAGAAATCCAGGTTTTGGGGCTGTGCCCTGTGTTCACTGATGGTGACTCAGCAGCTGTGTCCCCTCTGGCCTGGCAGAGTTTCCTGAGCAGAGGCCTGTGTATGGTCTCAACGGTGCTTCCTCCCAGGGCCTTGCAAAAAGAAGAGCAAACCTTCCTCCTGCTCAGTCTACAGAGTAAGTTGTGCTGCATCCCCAGGGCTCAGGCAGGGGCTGGACAGTTCCTGGGCAGAAACACATTTGCATGAGCAGCCCCTCCTATACAGAGGGTGGGAAGAAAAGGAGGCCTGAGGCAGCCCAGTCCTACTGCTGGGGTGGGAGGCTGTTTCCACCACGTCCTGGACTCCTCTCCTCCTCCTTCTCCTCTCTCACTGCACAGGTAGGAACAGGCATCAGAGACTAGGGCCAGTCACACAGCCTGATTCTCACTCTTCTGGGAAAGATTCCTGAAAAACTTTACCCTGGTTTCTGTCTGATCACCCATAAACGTCTGTGTTTCCAGGTTCCCTCTCCCAGCCTGTGCTGACTCAGCCAGCATCACTCTCAGCGACTCCTGGAGCATCAGCCAGACTCACCTGCACCTTGCGCAGTGACATCAATGTTGGTAGCTACTACATATACTGGTACCAGCAGAAGCCAGGAAGTCCGCCTTGGTATCTCCTGTACTACTGCTCAGACTCAAATAAGCACCAGGGCTCTGGAGTCCCCAGCCGCTTCTCTGGATCCAAAGATGCCTCTGCCAATGCAGGGCTCTTACTCAGCTCTGGGCTCCAGTGACACACACAGATGGGGAAGTGGGACAAAAACCTCAGCCTGTTCTCACCCTTGTTCTGTGACAATTTTTAAATTGCAAAAATAACCTGTCTATTTACAAACTATATTTGGAAGTACTTTCTTGTGGTAACAGGCTTTCTCTCCATTTCCCATTCATTGTTTCTGAAGTCTCAGTATAACAAAATCAAACAAAACCACCTGAAGACACTGAAATGTTGGCTGATTGTCCATATATACTCAAACCACTGCCTGTGGAGCTGGGCCTTTTTCTTTTGAAAGAAGCAAAATGAGTCTTTTCTAGCTCACCTTATAGTCAGAGCCTGGGAACCTTCTAGCAGGCAAACAGTACCCTGCAGCATGGATTCTGCTCTTCCAGGGTTTAAACCAGAGACCTCCCCTTCCATTTCCAGTGGTCTGTGCTCAGAGCTACCTAAGGCTCTGACTGTATCCCAGGAACAAAGCACTACAATGTAAAATGCTTCATGAGAACACGGGTCAGGGAAGAATTCCTCATATAAAGCTGGGATGGCCCAGCCCTAGGTAACTGCATTTTCAGTTTCAATGTCAGAAGAACAGATTAGATGTGGGGATAACTAGATCTGCGGCCAGAAAACCTCTCTCTTTTTTTAAAAAAATCTATCTATCATCTATCTATCTATCTATCTATCTATCTATCTATCTATCTATCTATCCATCCATCCATCCATCCATATATTATTGCACTTAGGCTCTGGAGTACATGTGCAGAACATGCAGGATTGTTGCATAGGTACATACATGCCATGGTGGTTTGCTTCCTCCATTCCCCCGTCACCTATATCTGGCATTTCTCCCCATGTTATCCCTCCTCAAACTCCCTACCCCGTGCTGTCCCTCCCCTATTCCCCCACCAACAGACCCCAGTGTGTGATGGTCCCCTCCCTGTGTCCATGTGTTCTCATTGTTCAACACCCACCTATGAGTGAGAACACATGGTGTTTGATTTTCTGTTCTTGTGTCAGTTTGCTGAGAATGATGGTTTCCAGATTCATCCATGTCCCTACAAAAGACATGAACTCATCCTTTTTTATGGCTGCATAGTATTCCATGGTGTATATGTGCCACATTTTTCTTGTCCAGTCTATCATCGATGGGCATTTGGGTTGGTTCCAGGTCTTTGCTATTGTAAACAGTGCCACAATGAACATACGTGTGCATGTGTCTTTATAATAGAACGATTTATAATCCTTTGGATATATACCCATTAATGGGATTGCTTGGTCAAATGGAATTTCTATTTCTAGATCCTTGAGGAATTGCCACACTGTCTTCCACAATGGTTGAACTAATTTACACTCCCAAAAGCAGTGTAAAAGTGTTCCTATTTCTCCACATCCTCTCCAGCATCTGTTGTCTCCAGATTTTTTAATGATTGCCATTCTAACTGGCATGAGATGATATCTGACTGTGGTTTTGATTTGCATTTCTCTAATGGCCAGTGATGATGAGCATCTCTTCATATGTTTCTTGGCCTCATAAATGTCTTCTTTTGAAAAGTGTCTGTTCATGCCCTTTGCCCAGTTTTGAATGGGTTTGTTTTTTTCTTGTAAATCTGTTTTAGTTCTTTGTAGATTCAGGATATTAGCCCTTTGTCAGATGGGTAGATTGCAAAATTTTTTTCCCATCCTGTTGGTTGCCGGTTCACTCTAATGATTGTTTCTTTTGCTGTACAAAAGCTCTGGAGTTTAATTAGATTTCATTTTGTCTATTTTGATTTTTGTTGCCAATGCTTTTGGTGATTTATTCATGAAGTCCTTGCCTATGCCTATGGCAGAAAACCTCTTTGTAGCATATGAGAGAGTAAATGGGAGGGGGGCTCCATCACGGCTTAGACAGGGCTGAGCCTGCTCTTGGGCCACTGGTAGAAGTAAGACCCACGGGTGTGACTTTCCTCCACCTCATCCCACTCAGAATCAGGGGGACTGCTGAGGGTGAATTTCCTGATCCCTTGGGGTCTGACTATGTTCTCTTATCCTCTCTTACACCATTAGAGCTTTTCACTGAGTCACAATCTAGTCAGTGCTATATCTGAGTAAAAAAACTGCCCAATATTTGCTTCAAGTGACTCCTCCCTGCAAAACTCTTGAGGAGATCTATATTTTGAGGTCAGCTTTTCCTGCATGGGTAGCAGCAGAAACATTGGGCATTCCCATGGAAATGGCCACTGAGGGTTCCCAGGAAGAACTGCTCTGTTTGTGACCTAGGACCCTCTAGGGGTCCCAGCCTGATTCTTCTGCTCTGGGTTTGCACACATAGCCTCCTTGACCAGCTCTGGACTCCAGGTTGAGGATAAGACTGATTATCAGTGTCACAAAGCTGCATCCACACACCATGTAATCAAGAGCTTCTGATCCATGGAGATGTGAGAAAAAGGTCTGTCCCCCATTCCTCCTGTCTGATACATCTCTCCCCTGTCCCTGCCTGTTACCAACTCCAGTTCATGCCACGGCTTCTGCTGTCACTTGTACTAATGAGAGCAGAGCATGGCTTCAGTGAAAATCATTTTTTTCTTACTAGTTCCAAATACAAACAATCAATTCATTTCTAGAAGCAAAAGGAGCTGCCCACACATGGTGGGACTGGATGAGGTAGAGATGGCAAGGAAGAAGAATCCAGTCTGTGTGGCCCAGAGACCCAGATGTTCTCTGCCTGGCCCCATAGGTGTCCCCTCCTTTTGGTGCAGGTGCGCTAGCCATTTCCTGAGCTCTGAGACTGAGGGAGAGACGACAAGAAAGGGGAATCCAGCCTGTGTGACCAAGAGACGCATATGTGAGAGTGGAAGTCTGATACGAAAGCTTTTAGAAAAAAGCTTTTAAAAGGTTTTTTTCCTCAGGTAAAAAGTCGTAGAGGATTGACTCAAGAGTTGAGGGGAGACTGAGCCCTACTCTCAAGCCAAAAGAGCATAAGGCTTTCAAGGGAATTTGATATAATTGGTAGAATTAAATAGAATTGAAGGGAATTGGATAAAGTTAACGCCGGCAACTAAGACATAAACCATCTTAGCAGGAGTCCAGCACTGATACCAAGATGGATGATGGCTGATAGATAAGTCTATAATAGTCTAGATGAAATAATCCTGCGGGCTTATTCCTAAATCTACACAGAGAAGTAGCTTTTACTGTATAAAGCAGATTGAGGATTAGATCTTGAATCTAAAGACTTTGACTTGAAGTCAGACATGGTAATGTGCCTCTGTAGTCCCAAGTTTTTGGAAGGCTGAGACAGGAGGATCGCTTCAACCCAAAAGTCTGAAGGTACAGTGAGCTGTCATTATGCCACTGCACTCCAGCCTGGGTGACAGAGTGACACTTGATCTCTAAACAAATAAACAAACATGTGGACTTTTGTTCTGGCATTTACTGGCCATGTGGCCTTGGGCAACCAACATCTTTTTTATTTCCTCACTTGAAAAATGGAGACAATGATGATAATTAATATCAGGAGGCAGAGCTGTGTGGGGGTTCTCACCATGGCCTGAGCTTCTCCTGTTCTCCCCCTTCTCAATTCCTGCACAGGTGGCTAGGCTAGGCATCAGGGCTGCGGGCGAATGGAACAAGGACCCTGCGTGCTTCCCTCTCAACTGAACCACCTCTCTCCACCTGTGTTAGTCCAGATATAAAGTTTTTGGGACAACTGCGTGCTGATTCAGTGGTGTAAATAAAGTGTTCAAGTGGGTGGGGCAAACTGCCACCGTCTACCTCACTGGAAGCAACAGTGAGGTGGGTGTGTGCCTTTGTCCTGGTGCCAACAGTGCCCCCAAACTCCTCATGTATGGCAGCAGTCATTGATCTGCACAGGTCCAAGCCCAGATTGCAGGCCCCAGGTTGGGGATTATGGCCTCCCTGAGCAACACTGGGCTCCAGGAAGAGAATACGGCTGATTCTTATACGCATCTTAGGACACAAGCATCTATGCTTACGAAGCGCTGCAGGAAAGTGGAGAAGTGGGAGAAAAACATTCTGCCTTCCCAGTAACGCGTCTTCCCTGTTTCGCCTCCAGCCCTTAGCCAAGTCAGACGATTGTGTAACACTGGTCAAAATTTAAAGTTCTAGACCCACTCCAAAGAACATGGTCTAAAAATTGTGTTCCCTTCCACTCAATTCTACCCACACATCCAATTATTGGCAGCAACACATTTTCATATTATTTTGCATTGGGGAAGAAAACATAAATACGAGGATCAAGTTGGCCTGGGAACCAAGTCCATGATGGATCAGGACAAGACCAAGGACACAGAGTCCACCATGTCTGACCCAAGAGAGTCGGCGACCGGAAGCCTGTTTATCTACAACATTCACTGAGCACCTACTGTGTGCCAGGCTCAGGGTAAGGGGCTCAGGACACAGGAAGGACAAGACAGGAAGCTTCCCAGTACACATGGAGCTGACACCATCTGGCGGAAGAGGAAAGACAATTAAGTAAAAATATCACTGCAGTAAGACGTCTTCATAGTAAAAAGAGGAGGGGTTGGGTGGGAAGGGTAATGGAGCCATCAGAGGCTTGCACTGGGAGGGCACAGGATCTGAGGTATGTTTGTAAGAAAAAGTGCAAATGCCCCCAAGAAGATGGACAAGGAGGTGAGAATAGTACAGGTCATGAGGCCAGCTGGGGTCACTAGAGAAAATGGTTAAATTCAGCACAAGTTTCTGGGGAGGAGGGACTGAAGCCTGGTTGAGAAAAAGGGTCAAGGCTGGCCTTAGGACCTGCATGGGGCACAGTGATTCCCCTGCTGAGGGGGTCTTCATGGGCAAGAAGGCTGGGGGAGGTCCTGAGTTTGTTTTCACAGTGAAAACAGACAACAGATCCCCAGCCTTGTTCAAAGGCATCACAGGACCTTTTCCTCTTCTGAGGTAAGGGGGAGAATCTCCCTCTGAGGCAGACGAGAAGTCACTTCCCATGGCCTGTCCTGCCACCTGGATGAATTTGTATTTGAAAACCAAATGCCTCCCCAGTCTCAGGCATTACACCTTCACAGAAAAGAAACCTTCCAGAATGAGCAAGATCTGCCCTCCCTGACTCAGTGGTGAGAAATCCCAGGCATTAAGATGACTGGACTAGATCATTCATGCCACCTCCCATGACATCATTATAGTGGGCTAAGCTTATGGCTGGATGATCTCTGGTCCAGCAACAAGAGAAAAAGAACAGAAGTCTTCCCTACGTGGCCCATTGTGTGCATCACTCTGCCCTCCACCTTCATTATTACTTCATGATGGGTGTTGTCTAGTCAAGGCTGAAACCTGGGAAGCGATTCGGTCAGTGTGTTTCCATCCCACAACATTTTATTCGCGCTTTCTTGCCTTTCTGACGTTCCTTTCACAAATCAATTCCAGGCTAAGAAACACCCATGCCCATACAGGAGGCAGCAACCTGAGAATTAGGTAGTATCAGGACAGACAGAAAGCAGATAAACACCCTCATGTTGGCCTCCTAAGCCCAGAGGAGTTAAGGGAATAAAAGGAATTCAAGAAGAAACATAACTGGTACTGCCCACCAGCCCCTGGGCACCTGTTCTCCACCTGCCCCTCTCTCAGTGAGGACCAGACTCAGAGGCCTTGAGAAACACCGCTTCATCTGTTCACACTGCGGAGTGTCTCCTTCTGCACTCATCCCAAAAGTGCTGCTTCCCCAGGTCACCTGTGTCACTGCTAAAAGTCTTTACAGAGTCCTGTTCACAGGGTCTGGAATCAGTGTCAGCCTGGCTGTGACTCAGTGGTGACCCTGCCCCTTCTGGACGAAAAGTGAACTATTTGAGCTCTCCTGGATTACTTAAATCTTTGGTTCTCCTTCTCGGTATTCTTCTAAAAAGTTCTGTCTCTACCCAAAAGTATCATGTTATTTTCTCAGGTCTAGAGCCATTTGATTTCCAAAATTCTATACTCACTCTTACGTTCTCATTCCTTCACATGACTCATTTTCCACTCAGCAGCTAATGTCACCCACCATGTATCTACAGCCCATTGTCACAAAAAAATGAGGGGGAGGTGGTTCCTTAATACATACAGGGTTAGCAAAGAAAAGTTTCAATAACTTTTAGAAATCATTTCAGGATCCAAGAAAATTGATTCCAGAGCTTCAAGGGTTTACTCCTACGAAACAACAGCATTAATACATTAGGTGTTGGATCTTCAAAAAGATCGTGCATGACATTCACAAAAATGTAGTATTCACACATGTCAAAAATTTTAATTGTCTTTATGTTTTGGAGAAAGAGCAGTAGGATGATAAATAAAAGAAATGTTAAAAAGCATTTGAAAAACTCAGTGCTTACACCCACCAGGATAGTACCGTGAAGCAAATTTCTGTGTTGAAGATACACCGTCTTTTAGATAAAGAACAACAGGGTTTGAATTTGTATTTTCATCTCACAATCTACAAACTAAAATGACCCCGTTTATATAAAATACCTAGAAAAGTGCCTGTTCATTTGGACTTGTCCATCTAACACCACCCATCCAGCCTTTTCTGAAGTGGAATCTTTTCTTTCTCTGCTCACATTCTCCCCTCTCTATGCACCTGCCTGATGACACGTAGCTCCTCCCTGCCTTCCTTTCCAGTGCACCAGCAGATGGGGCCCACCAGGTGAACAAGCTCTTGGACTTGGGGTACAAAAGTGAATCTTGTTGGACTGCTGAGGACCTGCCCCGGCAGGGTCTCTTTCTGGATCACAATCCCTCTGTTCCTGGGAGTCCACTTTTGCTAGATCCTGTTATTCATCTCTGTGTTACTCCATCTAGGTCTACTCTGTGGACTTTCCTACATCTTCACCTGAACCCCAGGAATCTTCAAGTCATGCCAATATCCCCTCAGTTCTCCTGTAACTGCTTGTTTTCTCTTCTCCTGAGATCCACCAAGTCACCCCTTCTCAGAACCCTGAGGGCGGCAAGGGCCTCTCTGGTTTCTTCGCCCCAGTGATGAAGGAGGAGAATGGGAAGTCCTCTGCCCCTCTTACCGCTGTGTTACCATCAGGGTCAGCTTTATGAGGTAGGGATGAGGCTGTCTAGATCAACATGGCATTGCAAACATTGAGCTCTGTGCCCAGCACAAAGTAGGTGCTCAGTAACTATTTGAAAAAAGCCTACTTTTTTTTTTTTTTTTTTTTTTTTTTAACCACACTGGCCACATTATACTGAACCCAGGATGGGGCTGAACTGGAAGAGCTGGTGGTAGAAATCCTCTCTCTGCTTTTAGCCTATGAACTGATGGCACAATTAGGAGGGAGAACATCCCTTGGCAGAAAGTGCTCTTGGGCAGCCTTGTTTTATATGGCAGACACTGCTGAGTTTGGGGGAACCTCTATTCATGAAAGCAGGAGAAAAAAATAAACAAAATTCACCATGAACATCTATGCATCATCATATAGGAGGCAATGACAAGAAAATACAAAGTGCAAGCCCAGTCGTAACAATTTGTTTTTACTTTATAAGAAATAAAACTTAATATGCCTGGTGTATTATGTAAACACAGCAGACATTTTCAAAAACTATAAAAATATTTCAAGTAACATGGCTTACGATGAAAAGGAACATTTCAAATAATGACACCCTTGAAATGCAATCCTAAAAAGTAGCACACATTTTATTTAAGTTACATATCTAGACTGGTTCTATTTAAATGTCTGCATTAGATAGCGATATTCTGTTGTGGGTTTGCTTTGTTTTGTTTTCAGATGGAGTCCTTCTCTGTCACCCAGGCTGGAATGCAGTGGTACAGTCTCAAGTCAGTGCAGCCTCCGCCTCCCAGGTTCAAGCGAGTCTCCTGCCTCAGCCTCCCATGCAGCTAGGACCACAGGCATGCACAACCACCACACCTGGCTAATTTTTGTTTTTAGTAGAGATGGGGTTTCATTGTGTTGACCAGGCTGGTCTCGAACTCCTGACCTCAACTGATCCACCCACCTCGGTCTCCCAAAGTGCTGGGATTGCAGGTGTGAGTCACCACGCCCAGTCTAGTTTGCTATTTAAATGGCACATTTAAAATCTCATGGTACTACAATTGCCTTGAGATACATTCCCCAGTGTAAATACTGACATAACTATCCTGCTGTTCTCCAGCCACTTGGGATTCACCAAACAAATATTTGTTGAGTCCAAGGTGTATCATGCCAGAACTCTTGCAGTCATATATACAATCTGTTTCATTTCTCATTTCAATAAATAGGATTATCTTTTTTCTTAAGCTTATTGTTTTTAATGTATCATATCCTAGATGTCATTACACATCAAAGACGAATAATTTTTATCATCTTTAAGACATGCGCCAAGCACTCATTACTGAATTAAACCATATTATTTCCTAAACATTCTAGTTGGAAGGATTGATCCTGAAAGCTACCATGTGTCAGGCTCACCTGAGCACAGACCTTGGTCAAGAAAAAAGTTACAGTTTTAATTCTTCCTGTCAAATACTGAGCATATCTGCTCTTTTGGCTCTTAAGTAAAACACAGTAAAACCATTTACCGGGATCTCCTTCAGACTGGCATTCAGTGCTTGGAGAATCTCCTAGATGAGATCTCCCATCACAGGATCCAGATGGACCACAAGTCTGGCAAAGTAGATAGAGAACAAAGATTTACCAGAATAACCCTCTGGGAATGTGCCCCAGCATCCTGGAGGGAAGGCTCCCTTTCTACTCAGCACTGCAGGATCCACAGAGGAAGGAGAGCTCTGCCCACCATAGGGAGCCGCATGAGAAAAGAGCACCAGGTGTCGCCACAGGTGGCGAAGTGAGTCCCTGGGGCTGAACCCTGCTCTGGGCTTGATCCTGAGAGGACTTTGTGTAGTCAGCACCTGAGTTCTATATAGTGAACATCCAGGGAGTCGTGGACAAATTCACCCCTGAGGAACCTAGTAGAGTGTGAAGTCTTCCCTGCGGTCATGAAAAGGAGACTCAGGGGGCTGCCTGGCCTGGCCCCAATGGAGAGGTCTGTGGACAGAACAATGGGGAGGCAGGGGTTTCTCTGAGAAGCTCTCATCGCCTTGTCATATACACGGTGTTGTATAATGTCTGACAATAGACAGCAGGGGGCTCATGGGGACCATTCCTGTAAGACTGGAGGTGATGAGAGCAGGTCCAGCCACCTGCTCTGCTTGGTGCCCTATGCTTAGAACTCACAGATGTGAAGTCTTCAACCCCTGGGACCATGAGGCCCCACCCCTGCCATCCCCTGACATCTTCAGGCAGAGGAGTTGGGATCAGAAAGCTGGAGGGTCTGATTTGCATAAATGGACCCTCCTTATCTTAGAGTATAAAGAGGGGCAGGGAGAATTTGGGGGAAGCTCTGCTTCAGCTGTGGGCACAGAAGGCAGGACTCAGGAGAATCTTCATAATGACTTGGTCCCCGCTCCTCCTCACGCTTCTCATTCACTGCACAGGTGCCCAGACACAGGGTCAGGGGAGGGGTCCTGGAAGCCCATGAGGCCCTGCTTTCGCCTTCTGTCTCTAGACCAAAAATCACCATGTCTGTGTCTCTCCAATTTCCAGGGTCCTGGGCCCAGACTGTGCTGACTCAGCCGACTTCAGTGTCTGGGAACCCTGGGCAGAGGGTCACCATCTCCTGTTCTGGAAGCAGCTCCAACATCGGGAGTAATTCTGTAAACTGGTACCAGCAGCTCCCAGGAACAGCCCCCAAACTCCTCATCTATGGTACCAGCAATCGGCCCTCAGGGGTCCCTGACCGATTCTCTGGCTCCAAGTCCGGCACCTCAGCCTCCCTGACCATCACTGGTCTCCAGCCTGAGGACGAGGCCGATTATTACTGCTTAGCATGGGATGGCAGCCTGAGTGCTCGCACAGTGCTCCAGGCCAATGAGGAACTGAGACAAGAACCCTCTTCCTCCTCTGCCAGGAAGGTAAGTCCCTGGCAGCTGCTGCTCAGGCCTGCTCTGTGGCTTCTGCTGCTGAAACTTCCCCACTGGTCCCAGCGGCATCCAGGGCCCTGCCTGAGAGCAGAGGCTCCATTTCTTTGTACTCAGTCAGGAACAGGAACTCTAAGAAACAGAGCTTCCTATCCTGCATCTTGGGACACAGGGTGTCTGTACTGCAATCCTGGGCTGAGGCGGCAGGGCCAGCTGTCATCACAGACCTTCCTCTGATGGGGAGCCTGTGTCTCCATCATCCTCCTTTCCCCAATTCCAAAAGTTTCCAGAGGGGTGCCTTTCTCTCCTTGGTTCACAGTGTGAATCCCAATTCTTTTCTCCTAAACCCATTCTTTATTAATAAAATTATTGGCCAGACGCGGTGGTTCAGGCCTATAATCCTAGCACTCTGGTAGGCTGAGGTGGGTGGATCGCCTGAGGTCAGGTGTTCAAGACCAGCCTGACCATCATGGTGAAACCACATCTTAAAATAAATAATAAATAAAATAAAATAAAATTTCTTTTCATGGCAGAATAGTGCACATAAAATAAACCACCCATAGTTTAGTAGGAAATTAGACACATTTTAGCTTTTTTCTGGATCCTTGAATACGTCACCACCACTGAGCTATGCAACCGGTGTCCAATCCCAGCAGCTCTTCATGACACTTTGCCATCTCCCTCCCTCCTCCAACACCCCCCTTAAAAGCCACAGACAAAATTTTATAACATCTAGGTCAAATTCTTGGCCAAAAAATCTGACACGACTGCACACAAAATGGCAAGTTTTACTGAGGGAGATAATGGCTAACTTCAAAAAATAGAGAAATAGGTCACACTATCCACCGGTAACT